GGCACCTGCCTATAATTTAGCACTGGGGGTGTTGGGAGAAGACAGGAAGATAGCTAGGGCTTGCTGGACAGCCAGACTAGTGTGACCAGCATACCCCAGGATCAATAAGAAACCGTCTTTCAAAAACAGTGGATGGCTCCTGAAGAACCATCTGGTTTCCACACACATGCACGTGTATGCATGCCTACATACACATCTGTCACACATAGATACTAATGTGTGTTAAAATGAAAACAGTAGATACTAATGTGCATTAAAATTAAGTAAGATGCACAGGTTGAAATAAGTATATGGAAATATGTTCCACTCAATGTGTCATCAGGGAATTGCAAAGGAAAACAACCACAAGATACCAGTACATAATTTTTAAAATAACCTGATTTTGTTCCCTAGAACTCACATGGTAGAGAGAACCTACTCCTTCAAGTTGTATCCTGACCTCCACATGTGCATTTTGGTGTATATGGGTGCACCTATGTGTACACACATAATAATAATATGTAATAAATATGTAGGTTTTTACAAGTTTAAGTCTTTTCAATGGACCATGGTCATGTTATAAGCTATCATCATAAAGCTACACAAAGGCTATAACCAGGAGGAAAGCTCTTTTAGTGCTAAAGCGGAGAGCAAATGATATAAACCATTATTTATTGTAGTGGTTTATCTTCACTGTCAACTTGACTGGATCTTCTGATCTCCTAAGAGACACAACTTTGGCTATGTCTGTGAGGACCTTTCAACAAGGCTTCCCTGAGGAGTAAGGAACCACCTGAATGTGGCCTGAGTACACAGTCAAAAGGTGAGCGTGAGTAGAAGCGGGAGTTGAGCACTAGGGCACATGTCTCTCAAATTCCTGCCTGTGGATATAATGTAACCAGCTGTCATGTTCCTGTTGTCATGCCTTTCCTACTCTCCCAAGGCAGAGCTTTGAAGAACAGTGTGTTCAAATGAAATCAACTACAAAGAATGAGCATTTTCTACGAACTATTGTGTTGTAGGTAAGGACAGAAATCACTTCACCATTGATTTCATACAGGTCAGGATCAGCTCCTTCAGTGGCTCAACAAGTGGGAACTCATGAACTCTGGATGGACAGCTGGGGAACCTGCAGGAGACTGAACTAGACCCTCTGAATGTGGGTGACATATGCGTGGCTTGGTCTGTCTGTGGGGGCCCCTGGCAGTGGGACCAGGATCTGTCCCAGGTGCATAAACTGGCTTTTTGGAGCCCGTTTCCCATGGTGGGATGCCTTGCTCAGCCTTGATGCAGTGGGGAGAGACTTGGTCCTGCCTCGCCTTGATGTGCCAGACCTTGTTGACTCCCTATGGGAGGTCTTACCCTCTCTGAAGAGGGGATGGGGGTGGATTGGGCAGAAGACTGGGGGACAGAAGGAGGGAAGAGAGGGGGATCTGTGGTTGGTATGTAAAATGAAAAACAATTTAATAAAATAATATTAAAAAAATCCAGAAAACACATATTAATGAAAGAGCAAAAGAATTCACTAAAGGGATATAGGGAGAATGGCATTTGCTTACTTTGTCCATGCATTTGATATCTGTTCTGTGCCACCGCAGAGCTGGGTACTAAGCACAGAGAATGGGAACAAAATTTGACTGACATATTGTCTGCATGTATGGTCAATTTTAGGACCCAGGCAGACACTGGAAATGGGAACACCTCTGTTGAGGACTTGAAGCTACCTCTCAACTTGTCTGAAGCACATCATTGTGTCATTGTCATTGGTGTTTTGAGAAACTTGTGACTTATGCAGAAAAATGAACCAATGGGATTCCAGCTTTTACAGTCTAATCTACCCATATTTCCTGGCTTGGGACTTTCTTTGTCCATTGGCTATAAATGAATGCCCAGTTGAGCACTTCTCATATTCACCTCAGAATTTTTAGGGAGGGTCCCAGCACAGTATGACAGGGATTCTCATAAAATGGGATTAAGGCAAATTTACACAGATCATTTGAGGACAGGAAAAAACAACAAACATCTGCAAGCCAAGAAGAGAGGCTCCAGGGAAAATCAACTCTACCCACACCTTGATCTCATAATTCTGACCTCTAGCATTGTGAGGAAATATAATTGTCCCATCTCTCTGTCTCTCTGTGTGTATCTGTCTCTCTATCTCTATTTATCTGTTTCTATCACTCTGGGTCTCATATATCTTAGGATGTCCTTGAACTTGCCATGTAACCCAGGATGAACTTGAGCTTCTGGTCCTCCTGACTTGACCTCCTGAGCACTGGGATCATAGGAGTGTGCCACGAGCCTGGCTTTACAGTTGTTAAACCACTGAGTGGTGTTTTGTTACAGCAGCCACAGAAGCCCAAATACATATGGAACAGAGTTACTCTCCCATCCCATTTATGACTCCTACCAATGATCAGAGTAGAGAAGAGAGTGGGAATCTTGGCCATATTAAAATCCTGTCAACTACAGGTGGAAGTTCCATCAAACCCCTTGGCCAGCTCATTTGAAAGTGCTGGTCTTTTTTGCTTATTTCATTTATTGAGCTTTCCACTAATTTTTCCTTATTTAATAATTTACTCAATTTTTTATTTTAGTTGGCTCAAGGGGACTAGGAGAGGAGTGAAGGAAGAGGACTGTGTTTCTTTCTTTCTTTCATTTTTTTTGAGGACTGTGTTTCTAACTAGAAGCTACAGAAATATACTCAGCCCTTCATATATGTGGCTTCCCTATCTATGGATTTGATCAGACACTGATAGAAATTATTGGAAAATTATAACTGTACTGATAATTGATAGATTTTTTTGAATTATGTCCTATACAATATAGAAACATCATATGGCAACTATTTATATAGAATTTGCATTATATTAGGCATTATAAACAATCTACAGGTGACAAAGCATACAAAAGTATGTGTGTACATTCTATGCAAATACTCCGCCATTTTACATAAGAGACTTGAGATGTGCAAAGATATGCAGATGCAGTGGTGATAGAAAGGGGGAGGGATAGAAAATGGGGATGCTATAGGGCTTCCGAGCTAAGTACAGAGTCCCAGGAACACAGACCTACAGGTACAGATAGGAGAAAGAACTTGATGACCCTACTCTAACCATTTGGTCTTCTTCCTGAGTCACAACTGACAAAACTTAGTACAAGCAGATTGTACTAGAATCTTCCTATTTCTTAGTGCAGAGTCATCACACAAATCAACACAATAATTACTGTAATGCATGGTCATATTTAAACAAATGTCTTCAAGTCTAGCATTTAAAAATACATTTAGATTAAAAAAAATGGTAGAATTCTTTAAAGCCTAATTCTAGATAGCCTTAAGAAAATGTATCTTAATTACTTTTGAACCTGTATTCACCTTGATTTTTTCAAATATCTTAAGTTATATTTTCTTTTTCAGAGCTGTTTCTTATTTGCGGCTACTTTTTTTTTTAATTGAGGCATAATTCATAAAAGGGTATATTGTTTTGATGAGACTTTTTACAACTGTGGCTGAATGTCTTTCTTTAGTCTTCCAAGAAGGGTCATTTTACTTTTTTAGAGTTACTTTTAAAAGTCATGAGGTCAACAACTTGGACTACTATGCATGTAAGTGCTAATGCAAATTAAAGCCCAAGTTGACCTCCAGCAGCAGTTCATTCTATGTTGACAGTGAGAGAACACTTTGCCTGTTAGGATACTGTTACTCGTGGACTGAAATGCTGAAGAAACCCCTCCCCCTATTTTGTTTTTTGCAAAAATCAAGGTATATTCTAGGGTTTCCTGGTTGACCTCAATAGATAAACTGAGATGATAGTCTTAGTTCAGAAATGATCTGAATGTAGATTTACAGTCTACGTGTACAGCTGGCTAAGTGAGATCGCTTTCACAGTTCTGCATGTATCCCATTGGCTCCCCATTAGTCACTGAACTCTTAAAACTGGTATTGTAACATTATCACAATGTTTTGCGCCAATTTTATAAACTTTACAGTGCAAAAAAAAAAAAAACATAAATCTCTCCTAGCAGGTTCTATCAGGAGGCACTTGTCCTTGATTTTCAGGCTGCACACTCAGAGGTTTGGAGTTAAAGGTCTGGGTTACATTTGCTCAATTGGTAGTTTTTAATTACATTCTAGTCTGGTTCCAGTCACCATAGAAGCAGGACTTTTGGTTTCTTTTCTTTTTTTTCTTTTTTTTTCCAAGACAGGGTTTCTCTGTGTAGCTTTGCGCCTTTCCTGGGACTCACTTGGTAGTCCAGGCTGGCCTCGAACTCACAGCGATCCGCCTGGCTCTGCCTCCCAAGTGCTGGGATTAAAGGTGTGCGCCACCAACACCTGGCGACTTTTGGTTTCTATAGTGCTATTATTACTTGTGTCCTGAGCTTCCTGGACATCGCTTTTGAAGTTGGAGTCCCCAGGAACACCAAAAGGAGCTGAAGCCAGTGCAATAAACAAGATGCAGGAAATTAGTCATGTGTATGTGTTGTGATGCAAAAGGTCCCCAAGGAATTCTCTTAATTAGTCTCAAATACTTTTCAACCTTATTCCTTTAATGGCATTTGAAATCCATTTACTCCCAAAACTTACAAGATAATTGGTGTTTGAAACAGGATCTCATGTAGCACAGGGTGGCTTCACACTTCCTATGCATCTCAGGGTGAACTTGGAACATCCTCCTTCACCTCCCAAGTGCTGAGATTGTAAGTGTGTACCTCCACACCTGGCTGAGGCAAGTTCTCTTTAACCTACTCCCACATCAATTCTAACTGGCTCACTCAAGTTGGAATATAATCAACCCACCCACCTCAGTACCCCACTCCAACATCTCCATTCTACTTACATGTGATATAGTAAACCTTATCCTTGACAGCTCTATTCTTATACTGTATGGCAAACACAGAAGCAAATACACACTTAAAAACAGAACTCTGCATATATTCTACATTATAAACAGAAGCACACAAACACATTTTAAAACCAGGGATCAATAAAACAATATCCACTGAATGAGGACACAGCACAGTAACATTACAGATACTTTTTTTAATGACAAGTCGTAAATTAATACAAACTACAGGCTACGATATACTGAATACAAAACCCATTCAGGTAAAGATTAAAAAAGCATCACTTAACAAGTCAGTCTGATGCAAGTGGCTAAGAAATGCAGGCCCCATTGTGATGACACAAGCTTTACAAACAGCACATTGGCACCCCCACCCCCACCCCTACCCCAGTCAGCAGCCATAGCATGGCTAGTGACATTGGTGACTGGAAATTCTAACACTCAGAATGACATCAAGGGACATCTCTGTAACATGTTCACTACGCAAAACTCAAGACAAGAATATGTGAACGTTCTTTGCAAACTGTAAGGTGCTGTGCAGATGTTGTTAGCTATTGCTATTATTCCTGTTCAGTGAGATTTCACCAAACGTGGAAGGAAGACTAGATTGTATAACTGACAATATGACTTACAGAACATCTTAAAAGGAAACGATACTTCAAGCACACATAGCAATTAACACAAGTGTAAGTGTGGCCGGCAGTGATATGGAGAGACTCTGGACTTTTGTATGGAATAAAGGGTTAAGCTATTCAGAGGTTATGCATTGATAGGTAGTTTCCCAACGTCTCCGAGAGTAATTTATTTTTAAGGTAACTCCATCCCCCTGGAAAAAAAAAAAAACTTTTGTGAAGCTATCAGAGGGCACTTGAGAACAACTCTGGTGAAAATGAACTTAAAAGCTAGGAGTAGAATCTAAATGGTTGTGTATTTCCCTAGTGAACGACAGAACACTCAAGAGTAAAGAAACCTGCCATTGACCTAAAGCAAGTGACAAATACTGTGCCATCATTGAACTAATTATCAAATGGGCCAAACAAGTCTAAAAATTTGCTATGCGTAGGCACTAAATATGAAACTGTCTGGAGATATAGTAGATATAAGTAAAACACTTCCAATCCTTTCATATAACTTTAGTTTTAGCCTTCCTTGGGTGCATCTTACTTGTCTAAATACTTTTACTGACCTGTTTGAATGTCCTGTCTACATAAGATTTATATGAAAATAAATACAAGACCATTGGTTGCTTCTTTTAATAAAGCCATTTTTTTTTTGGTTTTATAGGGTCTTGTTTTGAAACAGGGTCTTGTGCAGCCCCAGAGTGGTCTTAAACTTTTGATCCTCCTGTACCTGCTTACCAAATACTAGAAGTATAGGCATATGCCACCACAGCTGGCTCAATATAACTTTTCTGATGTAAACTTTTAAGTTATTATAATTACTATTAGATCCCCATGAAACACCCAGTTATTTACTATCATTACAAACCAGAATGCTAATGTTACATGTGAAATGGCAGACATTTGAAGAATGAATGATACCAGATGCATCTTACAGCAGATTTCCATTTTTTCAGTAATGGAAGAAAAGATTCTTTAGGAGGCAAATCAGGTGAGGAAGGCATTGTTACAGAAAATAGGGTAAAATCAGTAGCTTGCACTGAAACTTCAAGTTATATTCCCTAATGAGATTACTATTACAATCAGGTTTTGAACATCAGTGAACATATTCCTGCCGGAAAACACTTAACAGTTCAACTGTAGCTTTTCTTCTAACACATGAAATATGTACTTTGTGCAAGAGGAAACTAGTTAGATACCTTGAAAACATGTCTATTTGTCGAATACCACATTCATTAACGTAGCTAACAGCAGCAAACTCATGAGCAGTCAAAATCCTTGGAAACAATTAACAGCTCTGAAAACAAATCTATTCTGTAGTTAATTCTAAGTATTGATGTGAATATTTGATTTTAGTGTTTGAACACATTGTACTTTATTCCCAAGGAAAAATTAAATGTATTTACATGTATCCCTGGCTAAAGTATTTTAAAAGACCTATACCATTACTTAGTTAGCAATGTTTGAAATCAAATAAAATAACCCAACAGTGTATTTTACAAACAGTACAAGATCCCTAAAGTACAAGGAAAAAACCTCAGCATTATATAAAAATAAACTGAGTGGACATTCTAAATACAATAAGCCACCTCATAAGGGAACCATCTAGAAATCTAGCACAAATGTCTGAGACTCAACTATTGTAATACTAAGAATTGCATTCTTTACAAAATAAAGACCCTTATATTTAGAATACTCACTTTTAAATACAAACTACATACAACAGTTAAATTCAAGAATTAAGAACAATCCTTTAATAACATGTTTATCGCAATAATAATATAACACAAACACTTATCTTTATGTCTAATCACCTCTCTATTCCTCTAGTCTAGTTCCACAGCATAAAATAACAGCAAACAAATCAGTAATGGCAAACATTTAGGCAGGGGCCATTCATTATATTAGGATTATCATTAACAGGTATTTGAACTTTCTTCATTTTTACAATTAAATTTAACTGATACATAAAATCAAAAAGCACACATGCTTATGGAGTGCCCTGTAATATTTTGATATATGCACATACTATACAGTATTTATACTGAGTTTTCATCTCAAATTTTTTTGTTAAAAACATCGAAATGTGAATTTTAGAAGACTAAAGATAGAATGTGATTTGTAAGACAATGGGCAATTTATCATGTATCTGAAAAACTGCAAACAGCTCTTTGGTGAAGTTGGCAAGACCTAAACTTAAACCAAGATTGTAGTGTGTATGGAACCAGCATTAAGAAACATCTTTCAATATTGCGCAGGGGTCGTGAACTAAACTACTGAATTTTTATTTTCTTGCTATTGTATTTTTCCAGTGCTTTACAGAAAATATATTATGAACTTTTAATAAAAAATAAATATTTGGGGGACAGCATTTTTAGATTGCATATACACAGTACCAAGTGGTTTATCTGACCATAGACTGAAGGTACTAAAGCAAGGTAATTGGGCTTTTTTTCTGGGGCTGGGGTGTTCTCATCAAAAAAGACTTGAAAGACTATCTATAAATATAGGATGTAACTTAGCTCTGATTAAAAACAACAATAACAACAACAAAAAAACCTTACAAGAATACCCTTTAAGAAATGTGATGTTTTTAAGACTGTATACACTCTCAGTATGTGAAAGCTGAACATTTTGGCATTCTATTTTTTTTTTTTTTTTTGGTTTTCCTGTCCTGGATCTCGCTCTGTAGACCAGGCTGGCCTCAAATTCAGAGATCTGCCTGCCTCTGCCTCCTGAGTGCTGGGATTAAAGGCATGCACCACTGTCACCCGGTTTGGCATTCTATCATATACTATCTATTTTAAAGTAGGATGACACACTAAATGGGACTTTGATAAACTTTGCAATTGAAGCCTAATATCAAAGAAAAATGCGGCAAAATGTTAGTAGGATAATCACAATACTGACAGTAAGCTCAATTCTTTGCCTCAGTAATCCTCAATCCTTTGTTTGAATGGGTGTGATTTCAGTAACTTTCCCCATTATAATGGAATGTGAGAGTTATCCTTCCTCAGTGACATTTAGATTAACTACACTGCCTACAATTTTGGTAGCTTTCCACAGGAAATTAGAATCTCAAATCCAAGGGCCTGGTATTTTCCAGGAAGTCCTCCAGTGAAAAAGGAAATTTAGATTTGCTTCACTAAGTATTTCTTAATCTACCCAAATAAATAAAACTAAAAAGCAATTATAAGGCAAATTGCTAAACATTTTTGTTGTTGTAATTAAATTCTTTCTAGGATAAGATATAACTCTCTTAACATATACATTTATACCTACTTAACTTTACCAAACTTTCATTTGCAAATGGAGATTAAAAATTCAAAGTGACCATATTATTGGATGGGTCAAAATTTAGCCAAATGTGACTGACTCCTTAAGACTGATTTTAACATGTTCTTTCAACTTTATTCAAACAAAATGCATTTATTTATTTATATCCCAGAAGTACTTAACATATTCAAAAAATAAATTTCATGCTATCAAAAGGTGATGTTCACTTTAATCCTGTTTGCCTTCACGCCACTGTCGTGAGCCTTCATTCCAGGCCACATAGACAAACAGGGCCAGAACCACATGAACAGCAACAACAGCAACAATTGCAGCATAAAAGTAGCTGTCTCTATTGGACATTCCGAGGGCACCTATCAAAAAAAGAAAAAAATTCATTTTATTCCACACTTACAAACCACAAAATTCAAAGCCTAAGAACTTTGTTTGGAACAAAGACCATTACATAAAACAGCAACCAATCAAAACACAGAGTTGTGTAATCTAGTCCCAGTACATCTACAAAACAACTCCTGTAGCAAAGGCTCAGGCAACACTGCAGAAGGGGCAGAAAGATTGTAAGAGACAGAAGATTAGGGAATTTGTTATGAGATTATGCCTACTAGGAATGTCAGAAGATACACCCCTAAAGTCTCACCAACATGACTGCCTGAACATGAGCTGAACAAGGACAACAATAGGCATGCTAATATGGATGATGAAAAGCCCAGGAAGCCCTAACCTTATACAAAGAAGTACAGGCAACTAAGGAATGATGAGAGTGGGAGAAATAATATTCCACAGGGAAAACACACCAATTGGTTATCCAACACCAAATGGTCAGCCTGGAAACCATATACATACAAATAACATTACACATACTGAGCACGTTATACTTCTATATTTAGGAACACACACACACACTCACGTACATGCACATGCACGCGTGCCAATTAATGAAAAAAGAGGTCATGAATTTGAAAGAGAGCAAGGAGGCGAATATGGGAGGTTTTGGAGGGAGGAAAGAAAAGGAAGAAATGATATAATGCATATTATAGTATCAACACGTAAAAGAAGTAATAAAAATATAAAATAAAAAAGAACTATAAAAATAATAAAGTCTTAAAAAGACATAAAACAAATGTATGTAATCATACATGAGAGATACAATGGCTTCTTAGAATGAGCAGAGATAGATAAGGTTCTCTCCTCCTTCTGTTTCTCAATAGTTACACAATCTCACGCCGTAGGCCAGGGTGGCTGGGAACTTGAGATCCTCCTGTCTCAGTTTCCTAAATACCAGTTATTACAGGCATCAATATTTCGAAATTCACACTAGCTATTAGGAAATTTTCTTGACATTGTACCACTGGCTGTCATAACTAATTCCATCATTTTGTACAAATAATATGTATGAATAAAAATATGATTCCATGTAAAATACAATGATAGGCACTTATAAAAAGAATTATAGGTTAAAAATAGTTCAGCATGAAAAGGTACTAACAAACTGCTTTATAGAAATCAGCAAATACGGATGGTTGTTTATTTTCAATATCAATATGATTTCTTATATACCTTTGTATCATGAATGTCTTATTTTATACAAGTACACAGATATTTAAGAGCAATGAGAGAAAATGAAAGAGCACTATAAATAGAATTGGTGCTCAGTTACCAAATTATATTGCTTTAGTTTGTAATTCTACCCCTATGATAACACAGGAAAGACCTGTCACAGTTCCATGAATAAGGAAAGTCAAGAGAACAGTGCCCATGACACAGAACTTGGAATTACCCTGTTTTCATCTCCCATTTCCACCAATTACTTGTAGTGCAGACAGCAATTACTTTTTTGTACCACATTTCTAAAATGAGGATAATACTACAAATTAATTCAGAAGTTTGTTATGGGGATCCTGTGAATAAACTCAAGTAAAACATTTAAAGCAATACATTATATGTAATAAATATAAAAAAAAAAAACCCTTTGTTTTGTTTTTGAGACAGGGTCTCATGTAGCCTAGCTTGGCCTCCAACTCTTTTATGAGTCCAGGCCCTAATTCTGCCTCCACCTCCTAAGTATTATAGTCATGCAGAACCATACCCAGTCAACGAAAGCATATGACTTCTTACTGGATATATATATTTAAGCAAAAGGAATAAAAGTTTGACAATAAAAAGATTCATAAAAGCACTGAACAAATTAGAAAAGAAAAACGTCCTTAAGCATGTAAAAATTACCTTCAAATACATAGGATTTAGTTGTAAAATACAACCCGATAGGAACTGTTATCATTAAAGCTGTGAAGAACAGGAGTGTCTTGAGGGTTGAAGCTAAAGAGTTTTCATTTCTGGAAGAAAGTGAACAAACAGAATTTTCACAAGCCATATCCAAATATAATAATTACCCCCCTGAAGATAAAAGAATTCTGAGGCAAACATGGCAAAGGAGCAAGCATGCGCATACTTGAGCCTGCCCCTCAGCTTGGCACACATGCACTAGCACGTGCCTCTGAAATTTACATAGGAAAAAGCCAAACCCATTTGCTGACAAATAGCTCCTCCCCGAGGACTGTACATGCTTCTGCTCCAACTAGAGGACTGGACCGGAAATAAATAAAACCAGAAAAGAAAGATTTATTGTAGAATCAAACTTATCCAAGACCCAGTCAGGGTCTCATAAAGCATACAGCTTGGTGGGAGTAAATGGAAAAGACAAATGTAGTGATGCCATGGAACTCCAAATAAAAGCCTAAAATAGGCAGCTCAATAGCGGTATTGGGGTTGGACATACAGATGATGCTACATTTAGTGTAGCATTGTGTCCTATGCCCATCCAGAGGTACATTCAGTCTACAAACTCCATTCATAGCTAAGATACAGATATAGCCATTTCTTAATGTGTGTGTTTGTGTGTGCACCCGAGCAATGAAGATAAACATATTTTACATTTCCACATATATATAAATTCTTCAATTAAAAAATGACCAAATCTATAGAAAGAATAAAACAGTGGCAACCATGGGTAAGGGGAAATAATATGGAACTGTCGGTTAAAGTCCAATAAAGTAGCAGAGACCTAAGGCCATGAAGTCTAAATAGCTACTGCACTACATGAAAATTTTATCTCATAAAACTGCACCATAGTGAATTTTCCATCTTTATTATATTCCTTGTACATATGGGAGAAATTAAATCTTACTGTTATGCTTACTGCCATGGAACAAAAAGTTCTAAGATTATCTTTTGGTACCTAAATGTATTATCTTTTACTATACTCTGTCATTACTGAGCTACATAATCCTCATCATATATATATACATATAATCATACATATAATCATATATATCAAAAAATATGAAAATACTATTCAACCACTTCTTTTCTGGGTCTTAGAAAAGCATTGAACTTTAGATTTTCTTAGTGGTAAATTCATATTTTGTAATATTGTAAGCATGCAATATTCAGACTATTTATCTAAATTGATAAGAAACAAAAATTCAAAGAAAGGATTATTTTTACTTATTTAGTTACCTATTTAGTTGTCAATACCAGGGATTGAACTCAGGGTCTCATATATGCTATAGGCAAATACTCTAGTACTCAGCTACCTCTCTACCTCTTTTTATTTCTTATCTTTTGAGACTGGGTCTCACTATTTGCCCATGTTAGCCTAGAACTCACTCTGTATCCCACCAGGCTTTGAATTTGTGATCCTTCTGTTGTTTTAGCTTTCCCAGTAGCTGGTATTAAGAGGCCTATGTCACTATATCTGGAGTGTTCTTTATATAATCTCTTTTAAATACCTACTATCTGGCATAATTTTTACAAGCATGAGACCAGAGAGATGGCTCAGTGGTATTGCTCTTCCAGAGAAGCAAAGTTCCAGTCCCAGCACCCACGTCAGGCAACTCACAACTGTTTTACTACAGATCAAGGATCCAATGCATCTGACCTCCTCAGACACCTGAACTCATGCTGTGCATATACACACACAATTTAAAAATAATTTTTATAAACACTTATTGAAAAGATGATACAATGCAATAAAAATAGGGTGAACAAAATCATAGTCAGCACCCCACAGGTTATATGTACACATGTTAACAATTTATGGCCTATTATTATTATTATTATTATTATTATTATTATTATTATTTTGCTTGTTTTATTTTTCAAGACAGGGTTTCTCTGTGTAAGAGCCCTGGCTGTCCTGGATCTCACTCTGTAGACCATGCTGGCCTCAAACTCAGAGATCCACCTGCCTCTGCCTTCTTCCTGAATGCTGGAATTAAAGGAGTGCACCACTACTGCCCTATTATTATTCAATTATTTTCAATACATTCTTACTACTCTCTATGTTAAACCTCAAAAGTTTGACTCTTCTCTGTTATAAGCTCAGTAATTTAAGATTAAGTAGTTATTCACCATTGAAAAACAGTAAAGTATTTTTGAGAAATGTGTTTTTAAATGATTCTGTCATTCCACAAACATCACAGTGTGTACTTATACAAACTAAGATGGCTGAGATAGCACTAGATAATACAATCCCATGGAACATACTTGCAGTCTGTCATTGTCCAAAACGTCCAAAGCACATGACTGGATAGTCAAAGTTAAGTGTACAAACTTAAAAAAAAAATAGCTAACCAATTTTCCCTAGTATTTACACCACTTTTCTCCTTTGCTTCTAGCCATATCCCTCTACACCTGTTGGTTATGCTGCCACAAATCAGGTCAGGTAGAATCAGTGATATATTTTTAAAAAGCAATGGATACCATTTGATTGATTTATTTTATACCTCTGACTGGGAGTTGCTGAGACCTGTCAGAAATGAGGAATGGATGCAAAAACCAGAGTTAATGTTAGACATACAAAAAGAAGAACGTTCCCAATGAAATTTATCAAGCTCCTATTCTTTAACACTTTTCAGTTTTCCTACTTCACACAAATTTCTGCAGCAAACATTGAACAGATAGAGATTACCACATTCCCTTTTGTGGCAGGCAAGACTTACAGCAGAATTCTTTTAAGATTTCATTATAAATTCCACTAGTAACTATCTAGATGGTATACTGTATTCTTAGTGTACTTAGTAAGAACATCTATTGGTATTCTTATAAACAGTCATTTAAAAAAAAAAAAAACAAAATCCCCACTAACAGAGGCCGTAGGTGTGGTCTGTGGTCTAATTTTGTGATGTTGGATAAGTCATTTATCTGAATTCAACTTCCTTTACTTACAAAGCTGAAAACTAAGTAGTTAGCTAAACTAAGAATTAAGAAATTTGATGATGTCAATTAACGGTTGCTTCTGTTCAGTCACCAGTCCCCACCCTACTGACTGATTCCCCCCAAGGGAAGCGGCCTCGCACCAGGGCCAACCTCTACTCCATTCACACACCAGATGTTTACAAAAATATGTGATGTAGACCCTGGCAGGTCTCAAGATGGAGGAGGCCAGGTGCCTGTCCTCAAGAGAGCAAAGGAGCTTGACAAAGAAGAGACTGCAAATCAGCAAGCTTGTCAAACAAACGGAGAGAAAATACAAGGAAGCAAGAACTGAGGGCCTGCTCACTTAAATGAAAGGTAGGGTCATCCGTACAGAAGGTGCAGGCTCCAAACTACTTTCCCTATTCATCAGCCTGCAGCGGACCGCGGAGCCCAAGCCCACCGGGTTTGTCTCCTCCACTCCCTGCGGCGCACGCCAGACCAGGGCCGACCCCCCCATGGCTATCCAACCGGACTCAGAAATACCTGAACTCTGGGGGCTGCAGTGCGTTCAACGCCGCTTTATCAAGGCGCTCCATGGCGTGGCCGTGATAGCAGCGGCAGGCTAGATAATTGGCGGGGCTCAGCGGCCGGTTAGAAGGTGATAGTACCAGGCCGGTCGCACCGGAAGTATCTGGACAAAGCACGCAGGAGCGGCGCGGCGTGGTGACGCAAGGAGGCAGCGCGCGCAGGCGCGGGTAGGGCGCGGACACTCACGTGACTTACCCGCGAGTGCTCCTTGGTGTCCGTGCCTCCGCGAGCGTGTCTTTCTCCAGGAGCAGGCCGGGCGAGTAGCCTAGCCACCCTACGTTGAGCCGGGACTTTCCGCGTAGCATCGTCCTCCCAGGCCCCGTGCCTCTCGTCTGCGTCTTGGTCCTGCTTGCGGTGCCACGGGAGCCTGGTGACCCAATGTGAAAGAGCAGTGGAAAGGATGACTCGGCTGTCGCCTCTGGTGCTAGACAACCGAGCAGTTTCCCACAATACAAAAAAAGCATGCACGTTATTCCACCAGCCCAGAAGCAAAGACCTCATTCATTCCTGCCCGACTTGGCAGTCCAGCAGGAAGTTCAGAGGAGTTAAACACTCACCAGCGTCAGTAAAATCAGAGAACTGTCCGCTGAACGAGCCCTTGCTGAGAGTGACTGTTCCGCATTGGTAGCAGGTGACCCAAACTTCCACTTAGAGTCAAAAGCTTGTTTTGCAGCTGTTCAGAAAGCCGCCAATGAGACAACAGGAACTCAAAAATAGTAAGGACAGATGGACCTATGCTCCCAGGCAACCCGAGAGGCACCAACAGAAAAGGGTGTGTAAGCCCTAGGGCAGGCTACACATAATTAGGTTGCCCCTGGCTGCTAATACAAGGACAGCCCTTACATGGTCAAGCTTGGAAAGGGCTGCTGACCACATACCTATTTTCTGCACGGTAGGATACTAAGCATACCTGAAATCACAAGTAAACCAGCAGTGTGTCCTGAATTGAGCAGTAAGAAGTCCGAGTTTCAATTTAAATGTAATAACACCTCTGTAGGCCTCATGCAGATCCTTAGGTGAACTTAATGTATGAACTCAGGAAATGGAGAGCTGGGTGCCACGAGAGACACACTGGACAACCAGTCAAGTACATGGAGTCATTAGCCAGTTTTTCTCCACTTTGAGTGTGGGGAAATGTCAAAGAATGATAATTTACAAACAACTCATGAAAATCATTTGAATTTTCATGTTCATAAGTAGAATTTTTTGAAACTGAGTCATGCACATTCATCTGAATTGTCTCTACATTGGCAATGCTCTGTAGATGTGACTTAAGGGGTATGTTCCACAAATCCTAAAATATTTTCTATGTGGATTTCGAGTGTGTGTGTGGGGGGGGGGGGCAGCAGGACCTTTGTAGCATGTTGGATAAATGCTCTCCCACTGAATAACTACTCCCAGAATTCCCCATCCCCTTTTAAAATTTGACACGGGGTCTCACTCACTTAGTCAAGCCAGCCCTGAACTCATTCCACAGCACAGGCAGGCCTTGGATTCAGTCTTTCTGTCTCAGCCTCCCAAGTGGCTGGGATTACAGATCTATACCACCACACATGGTGACCTTAAACCCCTGGGGATCCACACACTTAATGAGTGTTCTGAGAACAAGTTGTGGTATTTCTAAAAACCTAATGGAACTTCAACAGCTAAACATCACATTATTTGACTTGAGGCATAAATTATGTCTCACTGATAAGGTAATCCTGTTCATCCAATGAGTAAATAAATGGAAAGACTGTTACTAAAACCTAAAATATGTTGTAGTATACTTGATAGAACAAATCTTTAAAAATTTGTATCTAAAAAGAACAATTGTGTACACCCACTACTGTGTAGTATATAATATGTGTTAGACGACTGAGTTTTGTCTACAAAAAAGGTTCTTGATAATCAGAAAATTAGGAACTACAATGTAAGTATATAAATGTTTTCTGGGACCACTCTAATGAAGGACCACCAACTGAGTTCTTTGAACAACAGAAGTTAATCCTTTTACACTTCTAGAAGCTAGATGTCTGAGATGGAGGTATTCTTAAGGTTAGTTCTGAGGCCTGCTGGAGAAAGATGTAGCCATTCTGTGCATCTCCCTTAGCATCTGGTCTTACCTGATACTTTTTTTTGGCTTGTAGAAGTGTCTCCCTGATCTCTGCCTTCATCTTTTCATATTGTTTTCCCAGCGTGTGTGTGTCAGTGTTCAAATGTCCTCTATTCATAAGGATACCAATGCTATTGCATTAGGGGATTATCCTACTTTCTTATGACAGTATCATAACTAATTACATTTGCACCAACTATATTTTCAAATAAGGTTATATTCTGAGGTGTGATATGGTTACACGGGAGGAGCATATAGTAGTGACACCATAATTTCCCTTAGAATCAGGAAATGATTTTCAAATATTTGTCTGGGACATTCACCATTGTTGAGAAAACTGAGAACTATTGAGAGAAGTGACTTGCCCCAAATTTCTAGGATCAGTGATATGATTAGGGAATTTATAGCCCCTAACTTTTGGTCTAGTACTTTCTCCACAATATTGTTGTAAATGTTATTGTCATCAACAAGGTGGCATGGCAGGTATGCAAGTAAAGCCAGGTTTTTATCTACCCCAAGATCTGCAGTCTATCCCACAAAGCCATACTCCCACACATCTCCATTTGGAGCTCCCACTGTGGCTTTGGATGAGACAGCAACACTTGAAAGACCAACTGGTACTTCCTCAAGTCTATGCCTACACAATATGGCATTTCAAAAACTGAGATAAAAGGAAAACAAAAATAAGCCCCACCATACAGTCAGCATGTAAGGAGTGGGATTTCATTTGTTTTCATTTTATCAAAGGTAGTTAGTTAGTCCAACAAGGGCTCATGCTTACTGAAACTTCTTCCCCTTTGTGCCAACTAGCCAATTGTCTCAGGTTGTGAAGTTGAGCTGCCAGCAATGGAGTAAAACGTAGGTACCACCTAGTCAGCAAAAGATGAGAGCCATTTGGGCCCCAGTGTTCTTGCTATCCAGGGTTGGGTCTTGGTGCATCCTTTTGCAAAAAGGGTTGTCTTGCTGAGCCGCTTTCCTTTTGTTTATGTGCTCCTTTGTGTAATGCTGAGCTTTTGCTTGTTTTTAACATTTATAATGGAGAATGGGTATCTTTTTTTCTGAAAATAAAAACTCATGACACCCTTTGGTGAAAAATCATAGTTCCACTTCTAGACCAAAATTTCAAGGAGGAAAGGACAATATAGTAAAAAATGTGTTTTCAGGATCCCCTAGGCAATGAATTACTAGTTTTACTTACCTACCACTGTTTCCCTGAAGTAAATATCTACCTGCTTCATTTTACACTTAGTTCATAAGCTCTACAATTTTTATGCCACCCCCATTTTATATGTTGGAAATTTCAAGCTAAGGAAAATTCTGGAATTGGTTATGTCCTTACCTTCCCTTGCCTCCTGTGTGGGCTCTGAAATTTCCACAAAGGTACCTTGTCTGGCTCTATGTTCCACACTGTTAAGCTGGGGTCTTAGAGTTACGGAGAACTGTTGTTAAAGGAGCCAGAGGATACCTGGGGTCCATGGATCAGAGCTGTTCTTGCCCACCAGACATGCCTATACAATATTAGTAGAGTCCTTGTAAGAGAAAGTGTGTATTGAATAAAAGTATGATTTCAGCCTAAGGTCCCACATTATTTGGCACACCAATGGTTTGATATTTAATAAGCCTGGCAAAAATGAAGATATGTATTCTAAAGAGAGACTTCTGTCTCTCAATCTGACTGTAAGACTGTCAAAACAATGAACACCAAAGAAATGGGAATTTCCCCAGAAATCTCATGTTGGGAGAAGGAAAAGACCCTGCCAGAGGGAGAATTTATCTCTCTGAAAGAGATTTCACAGTTCTAATACTTATCAGACCACCTTACAGGTAGAGAATGTGAAGCCTAGACAAGGTTGGTTTGGTGGGGGATGGGGGTAGAAGACACGACCATACCTTGTCCAAGATTGCTTAAATGTGCATGTACTTGGCCTCCTATTTGAACTTTAATCTCACTCCAAGACTGCAAAAAGAAACAGACTTGGAAGGTTCACTGGATTGCTTCTTCTGTCTTCTCAATGTGGCCACGTTGAATAACTCTCTTTTTCTGCTTTCCATTATCAAGTGGCTTATTAAGGACTGGTGGCAGGAAGGACCTGGCTTGGAGCACAAGTTTCTATCCCCAGAAGAAGCCCATTCATACCGCGTGGCAAGGCTCAAGATGCCAGGCGACAGTTCACAGATTCTGGCCCAAGTGCATTCAGATGAGTCTGTCACAGTACAGAAGCATTATGACAAAGTCACAACCCAATACCTGTGCTCTGCCTGGTGGGCTGAGTGCTGAGAAGATGTTGGCGGCCTGTGAAAACAACAAAAGCTGGATGGTTGTCCCTTGGGAGAGGTAAGCCAGAGCTCGCCAAGATCAGAGCCAGTAGGTTCCAATCACAGAGCTCTCCAGGCAGTTCAGGCCCTGGAGTCAGATTTCCCTGTGGTCTTCCCAAACACCCAGAGGGAGGGGCAAGCAGGGCGCCTCTGATTGGATGGCAATAGATCTTCCTTCCAGCAAAAGCCTAAGGGTTAAGCAGAAATTGCTCTCAGGAAGTCTGTGCAGCCCTGCAGTTGTAGGACCTCAGGGTGAGATCTTGGTGCCCAACCCCCACCTACGTGGAGGCTGCACTCCTAACATTGATTGAATAAACTAAGTACACTGATGAATGAATGAGAGAAATCCAGGTTTTGTTTTGTTTTTTCCTTTTCCATCACTGGGTTGAAAAAAAAGTTAGAAACCCTAGACTAAAGGGAAGGGGAAAATGCAGATGCTATAGCAAAAAGAAACTCAGAAGCAAGACAAGGGTTGGTAGGTATTTTGGATACTGATGATAAATGACAGGGTTGGGAGGGCTGCTTGGGGGTAGAGTGCATGCTTAGCATGAGCAAAGCCCTGGATTCCATCACCAGGTCAGGGAGGGGAGAGGGAGGATAAAAGACTAAACAGACCAGCCTCCTGCCTATGGCCTTTCTCTCCCAGCTGTTCCCCTGGCTCCAGGCCTGGGAAGAAGAAATCCTTTCCAAGAGGAACAAGGTTAAAGGGAGTGCGCAAGTGTGTGTGCATGCAAATGTGGGAGTGTACTTCTTCAAGACTGTGAGGGCTTGGGGTACTGTGTATCTATGTGTGTCTGTGTGCTTATGTATTCATACATGCTGTTTGGGGAAATGACATTAAAAACAAAATCATCTCCCAGCCTAGAAAACCACATGAGAAAAGTAGAAAAGAGAAACAAACAACTAAACAAAAACTTACTGAATAAGAGTTAAATAATAATGATCTGGCAGGAGGATCATGCATTAGAGGCCAGTCTAGGATACATAGGGAGTTGAAGATAACAATACTTTGCCTCAAAAAGAAGGGAGCAGAAAGATTGTAGGAACCAGAGGGTCAGTTAGTTTGCTGTAAGATTGTGTCTTAGGAATGTCAAAAGCTACACCCATAAAGTCTCACCAACATGACTGTTCAAATATAAGTTGAATAAGGACAATAATAGACAATCTAAGGTGGAATGGGGGTAGGGAAGCCCAGGATGCCTCAACCCTACACAA